CAAACAAGTTGAAGTCTATAAATAGATTCAAAGAAAAAGCTCTCTCATATTTTATTAGAAAATAAATATAGAACATAATTCAATCAGCATGTTTAATTCTAGATAATTAATTCTTAATTTGCTGATCTTGGTTTAAGCAGACTACCATATGAAGTTTTCTGCTTCTAGATGAAGAAAAGTCCTAAAATCTTCAATCAGTTCTTTTGCTTAGTCTAACAGGTTCACGGTTATGATATCAGTTTAAACTGAGAAACCTGTACCCGTAAGTCTTTTTCTTCTACCATAAATTGTTAAGAAAATACATTGTTCATAAGGCCATTCTTTGGATGTTTCTTTCAGAAGATGAAATTTGTAACCTGTAACTTGTAGCAGCGGCTTTGGGCAGAAAATACCTGCTGATGATATGATTGAATTGTATAATATATGTTTAGCATAAATTTGCTGTAATAACCAACTATATCAAAGTAGAGGGGAATGGAGTCCTCTACTGAGGACATACCTATTTTTTCTTTATGTATTTAGTCATTGATCACCTTGAAATGAGAACATATTGACAACAAGGGCATTGACAAACTTCAAGGTTTTAAAAATTTCATCCCTAATGTCACTACTTGACAGATAATTTACTTCTGAAATAAAATTGTTGAAAAAATCAATTTGACAGTTATTGTATTAATCTTTGAGTATAAACCTAAGTGTGTGCATCAGTTATCTATTGCCACAATGGCATCACAAAACTTAGTGGCTTAAAACAACATCTGTTTATTATTTCTCGTGCAACAATAATGATGATCTGGTACAGACTTGGGCTCACTCCAGTGGGTACAACTTCTCTCTTCCCCATGTGGCTTCTCATCTTTCAGAGGTTTGCTAGCTTCTTGTCATGTAGATGACGGTTCTGAAAGAATGAAACTGTATAAAGTCTCTTGAAACATAGACTTAGAACTGGCACATTATCACTTTCATTGGATTCTATTGGCCAGAGCAATTCACAATTCCAGCTCATAGTCCTAGAGTGGGTGAATAGACTCCACCTCTTGTTGAGTGCTGCAAAGTCACATTGCAAAGATAGGGATTTACGGAGGCATTAATTGGCCATCAATTACCGCACTTTGCTTTTAATATGTTTATGTTAATGTAAAAATATATATGTATTTGTATATTTTGAGATGGGGTCTTACTCTGTCACCTAGGCTGGAGTGCAGAGGCACAATCATGGCATACTGCAACCTCAACTTCCCGGGCTCAGGTGATCCTCTCATGTCAGCCTCCCATGGTAGCTTGTGGCACCATGCCTGGCTAATTTTTCATAGCTGTTTTTGTAGAGAAAGGGTTTCAGCTTGTTGCTCTGGCTGTTCTTGAACTCCTGGATTCAAATGATTCACCTGCCTCAAGCTCCTAAATGCTGAGATAACAGGTTTGGAGCCACCTCACTTGGCTTTATTAATATTTTAGTTGTTTTATATTTAACTTAGGTAAAATTTTTCCTTGATTCGTCACTTCTTTTTACATTTTAAGATTTGATTCACAAGCATGATAAAAGGAACTTTTTGATATGTAGGCAAAATATATTGAAGTCACAGAATGGTCTTTCTCTGTCAAATTAGGAGCAGACTATGTAATCAAAAAACAGTTTGTCAGTGTAACAAAAATGGTATCATATTCTAATTTTATGTTTAAAATATACCACCTATATAATGTTTTATAGTTAAGGATTCACAAGCATTTCTCTGTTTTATGATTAAACTCATCAAAATTTACCATTGTCAAAATTTAGTGTATTAGCTTCTTTTCAAACCCATTATTTGTAAATACAATTTATTTTTCATCAAGACTTCTATAAATTGTTCATTTCTATAATTTTTTCATTTGTCTTTAGCATTCCAATTATCTAGAGATATAATATTGATCAAAGTTCATCTGTTTCAGACTTAAGATTAAATTCTTTTCTTTTTTGTTATAAAAACCAGAAAAATAACATTCATCATTTTGTAAACATGTTTGCATTTCTTTATATTGTTAATATAATATAGTTCTGATCATTCATATTAACTACGGCTTTTACCCCAAATAAGTAACTTTTAATTCTCTTTCTGTTTCTATGTTGTCTCTCTCTCTCTTACATACACATATCCATGTACACACACACACACACACACACACACACACACACACACACTTTTCAGTAGAGGATTCAAAACTCTGTGACTTTCAAGGCAACTCAGGAGACCAGAAGACTCTAATGACCTAGAGCTGTCACTTCAATAGTACATATTACACATCACCCTACCACCACGCATATTCTTTTGTTATTTACATCTTGTTAGAACATGAAACCTTCCCTCACTTTTTGGCTTGGATATTTAACTATTTATATATCAGTCCTCTTATTTCTTCTGAGAGAAATGAGAAAAAGATGTCAACTAACAATCTCTTAGATTTCACAGTAGTTCTTGATGCTATGAATAAGCCAGAAGTAATCATTACAATTTCACCCACATTCCCACTTGATCTCATGTATCAATGCCCATTCCTAAAATTTATTATATTAACCAAGTAAAAATCCTCTTAGAAGGCACAGCTGCCTCTTTTCTAAGCTATTCAAAATCAGTCTTAATTTAAACAAACACAAAACTTTGTTTCCTGTTCTTCTGCTTTTCTGGCAGCTTTGTTAAATAAGATATCTATCCCTCAGTGTACAAAATGATATATATTGACTCAGTAATTAAAAAAAATTTTTGAGAGAATGAAAGAAAGAGAGAGACAATGAGAAAATGAATCAGCCACTGATACAAAAGAGCTACAGTTACAAGAATATTGTACAAGGCTAATATATTTCCTTTTGCAAAGAGGAAGGGACTTTTTTCCCCCATGTATACACATAGACACTAAGATAATTAGCAGCCTCAGTTATACACATTTAGATATAGGTCAATAATAAATATAAAGCACGATTTTCTGTGCTTCAATGAATCTCACTGGTTCATTGCAGCTACTTGGGAGTAGGAAGGTCAGGAAGTCAAAAAGATCTCCAACAAATTATTCTTATGAAAAATTCTTAATCTGTGGCTGATCTCCATTCTGGTGGGTGCGAAATTTTCTCTTGAATGATACTCAAACTTGTGTTCAAAAATGGCGTTATGCTAGTGTTCAAATGACGTACAATATAGAGAATATCAGGTGATAGCAGAAGCTTCAAGAAAAAACTACAGAAAGACAAATACAAAAAGACAGAACTGGGATTTCCTGCCCTCTACCACCCAACAGAGACTTCATGGCTGGGTGAAATAATCAAAGTCATACTCAACATTTTAGTTAACCAAGAGAAGAAAAATAATTGCCATGTACAAAACAAAACAAGACTTGTTTAAGAATCAACACGAAAATTCAATAAAACAAACTAAGAAAATAATGCAAAAACAAAGTGAGCATGAGTCAGTGATTCACTCTGAGAGTCAAGAAACTGGGGTCTGGGATTCAGAGGTGTAGGTACAGATCACATTTGGGGCAAGACTCAACCCTGGTGGGTGAATTGACCTGGGCATCTCAGTCAGTGGAACTCCATTTATGAGAGAGGCAGAAATAAAAACCTTAAGAAGAAGAAAGCATTTTTATATGTTACAAATTGCAAGGGAACTAGACTTTGGAAGACTGAAAAAAACTGGCTATCATATATAAAACATAATATATATATATATATATATATATGTATATATATATCTTATGCAAGGTTACCAAGATTACAGATATCTAATGATAGAAATCTTCAGTTTCTCAAATGTTAATAGCTGCTAGAGTCACTGTACTAGGGATTCTCTACAGGGACAGAACTAATGTTAATCAAGTTAATACTTAATAAACTTCCATATATATATATATATATATATATATATATATACACACATACATGTTTTATGTATATATAAAGCTAGTAAGTTTATACTTAATAAATATAACAGAACTGATAACAATTAAGAATTAGTTCTTATTAACAGAACTAATCAAGTTAATACTTATTAAACTCCCATATATATGTTTTATGTATATATAATGTTTTTTATATATATATGGGAGTTTATTAAGTATTAACTCACAAGACCGCAGGGAGGTCCCATACTAGGCTGGCTACAGACTGAGGAGCAAGGAGAGCCAGTCAGAGTTCCAAAACTGAAGGACTTGGAGTCCGATGTTTGAGGAGGCATCCAGCATGGGAGAAAGATGTTGGCTGGGAGGCTAGGCCAGTCTCTGTTTCCACATTTTTCTGCTTGCTTATATTCTAGCCGTGCTGGCAGCTGATTAGACAGTGCCCGCCCAGATTAAGGGTGGGTCTGCCTTTCCCATTCCACTGACTCAAATGTTAGTCTCCTTTCCCAACCCCCTTATAGACACACCCAGGATCAGTACTTTGTTCCTTCAATACAGTCAAATTGACACCCATTATTAACCACCACAGTCACCTATAACAGTATTGCTGACTGGCCATGGTTTGCAGTATTACCCTTCCCATCTGCTGATCCTATAGGCCATGATCCTACCACCATAGTACAGAGCCTCTTAATTCAAAGCATTTGGACCAAAGTTACTTTTCAGTTGATATTTGGTTAACAGAATGTCAGTGCCAAATAATACATAATTTAAAATACTCTATAGTTTAAAATAGCTTCTGGGACAGGAAAATTATTTGAACTAACCTGCCCTGTCATATGAAAACATTCTAATTTGTAGAGTTGTAGATACACTGACAAATTCACTTTGTTTTGGATTTTGTTTTTCTTTAGAAGGTTAATTTCATCCATGTAATATTGATCTTGGCATATTCAACCTTCTTTGGAGAACCTTATTGACATGTCCTGGTGATATCATATATTGAATTCTATGTACAAGTTGCAATATATTTCCTATTTCAATGTATTCATCATTGAAAGAGTTTTAAACTGTTCACAGAAGCATTAGTTTTTCATATTTTCTATAATAAGAAATTGTTATATTTTATTTTTTAGGATGAAAGGTACTCCAAGTAAAACTGATAAACTTGACAGTAAAGTTAAAAGAATTGGACCACACATAAATATCTTCCAAGTGTTCCGAGGAAGAAAAAAAATCATGATTACCAGAAAATTGATTAGAATGATCACCATCATGCAGGCACATGTCAGGGGGTGGCTTGAACGCAAAAGATTACGAAGAGTAATGACCAAGGTAAGATATGCATCAGATATTATAATGTGTTTAAAATTTTTTTATTTAGATTCAATTAAGTAGAATTTTGAATAGTCACCTGGTCAATATGCCTGTGATTTTTTTAAGTAAAATTCTGTGTACATACTTTTTTTTTTTTTTTGAGATGGAGTTTTGCTCTTGTTGCCCAGGCTAGAGTGCACTGGAGTGATCTTGGCTCACTGCAACCTCTGCCTCCTGGGTTCAAGCGATTCTTCTGCCTCAGCCTCCAGATTAGCTGGGATTACAGGTGTCCACCACTACACTCAGCTAATTTTTGATATGCATACTCTAAGAAAATGTGATGCATAATCTGCTATGATGACAGATTTAGCTGTGCAAAGTTGGAGACTCTGAACAAAAGGCCTCACTTATTCTTAACTCAGGAATTCTGGGACCACCTATTCTTAAACCAGTATATTTTGAAATAACTTTACACTAAAGTTGTTTCTTCTTTGCTATCTGTTCATTTTCGGTCTATAGCGACTTTCCTTCACTTCCCACACTCCTGGGTACTCTTGCATTGCATAAATATCCAATTTCAACAGAATTACACACACATACAAATATCTACCTGGTCAACTTTCATAGATTGCAATCCTGTTTTTTAAAATATATAATGCAGACCCATTTTGTCTGGGCGAATGCAGATGGACCTAAATGGGTCTATCTTGGAAAACCTGAGAGAATCTAAAATGTCCTCACCTTGAGGGCTAAAGTTTTACTACTAATAAAAAATTTGAGTAATAAACTATAAATAAAATAGATTAGTAGTGCCCACTCCATTTCCTTGATCTTCTGAGAAAACCCTCTAGAATAGACTTGCAGTGGGCATCCTGAACACGCTTCTCTGACAATGTGGTGATACTGTTAGAGTTATTCCATATGCCTCTCTCTGGGTATAAATTTATATATGTACTAATGTATAAATTAATATGAATATGAATCACATATGTAGTTCTGATAAAACATGATAATACATGTAAAACTTTGGCAAAACGTAAACACTCCATATACTTAATCCTGTAATTTTGTAAGGTGGCTGCTATATCTATTTTGTTGCTGAAGAAACTGAAGCAAATTTTTTGCCCAAAGTCAAACAGTGGCTAAGTGACAGAACTAGATTTCAAACCCATATCTGTCTAAGATATTGAAAGAGCCATGATTAAATTAGACTTGAATTTCTCCAAAAAGAGAAATGAACTCATTTTCTTACTCCACAAGTCCTTTCTCTTTTGTAACTACTTATATTGATAAACTGTTTTACCATTCATCATTCAAGCCATAAACCTGAATGTCTCTTAGATTCTTTCAACTTTTTGACTCCCACATTCAATCGGTTCCACTTTCATGACAGTTGTTGAACTGCTCTTTTTGCTTCTTGCCAGAGTTGCCATTCATCTACCCTTACATGGATAAATGCAGTAGTTTCCTAATTGATCTCCATACCTACTGACCTACTTCCATCAAATCCATTTGCCATGTGCCATATTTGAAAAATTCTACTCATTACCTTATTTCACTTCTTAAAATCTTTTTACGGATCTATATTACTTACAGGATATAGTAGGAACTCTCTAACATAGCACACATGACCTCTCTGTTTTGGCTCTCGCCTTTTGTCCATCTTCATCATAGGATACCTGATACATTCTTTATGTTTTAGCAAACTGCAAATCTTGATTGTTACCTGTTATCTTATGTTTACATGCTGTTCTCTTCTCTACCTTTCTTATCTTCTGATAAACTCCAATTCATCTTTCAAGATCTTCCTAAACTATATTCACTTACCCTGTGTCTGGTCCATCAAGCAAAGCCCATCTCTCCATCTTTTCTTGTCATTATTGTGTCCAGTTCTTTACATTGTTATCATCTGTTTACATGTTTGACATGAAAAGTATGGTTTATATGACTTATTTGGAAGCATATACTCTTTATTTTTCTGTTCATAGTACCACAAACTATCTTAACACATAATATATACTCTATCATTTTAACTGTATGCATGTATGATCTACTATTTTTTCTTGTTTATCTTCTTGTTGTATACATATACTTTATAGTTTGGCTAAATGGGTTGCAAACTTCATGAAGACAAGTATCTGTCTGTCTTGTTTGTTTCTGTATTTAAATGCCTAGAATGGTGTTTAATATATAGTAGACACTCAACAAATACCTATTGAGTGGATGAATTAATATAATTGTAGAAGTTTATCATGGAACCGTAAGAATATTACACACTCCCCACACACATTCTTAAAGTTCTGTCTACACACATTTGATACATTCCATATAATTTAATTATAGCATTTACTAATATCAGAAAGAATTGTAGAACCATTCATAACCTCTAGGACAGAAATGGATCTAGAACATTTAGGGAGAAATCATGGGCCAAAGATGAGAGTAAAAAGGAGTGATTTGATTGATAAGAAAAATGCTAAATTTCTATGTTGAGAGAGAATTTGTGATTAAAAGAATGAGAAGTGCTTTTAAAGGATCAGAGCCAATAAAAAGTAGATTTTGACTTTTATTTGGTGATAAAATTTGTTATAGTCATTGATTTTCTTTTTTATTCCATCATTGGCATTATGCTTTGTTTCTTAGATGATTGCTTTATTGATGTGGTTAAAGTTGTTTTGCCTACTGTCAAAATCCTAGTGTGACAGGCTTGTAATGCAGTTGATAGTAAGTTTCCTGGACTGTGCCTATGTGAATGGTTGCTATTGGGGGAATTCTTGATAACTTTCTGCTCTAGAGGCTGCATAGCAAATCACTGGATAATTGTCAGCACTGTGGCAGTCCCTCCACTGGGAGACTTCCATAGTCATATTGCTTTACTGCCACTTCAGAGTTTGTTGTTGTGGACAGTGTCTGTTAGAAGTTTGAGATTACTCAAGAGACTGTATAATTGCCACCATTTCCTATGAAAAATGTAGTTTGGAATTCTTTGGAAATAATAAAGCAGCTTCAAATTTTCTTACCAGTAATATAGCAAAATATCACAGAGATTGCTCTATTTTAATATGAATATTTTTTCCACAATTCAAAAGGTCCTTTAAAAATTTTTGTGTTGTTTGCATGTGTTTTGGTATAAATAATAATGATATTAAAAAATCATAAAGACCCAAAAGAGAGTACATTCCTCAATGTAATGCTTCTAGGATCTTACTTACTTTTAATATTTTCCTCTAAATATTTATAATTTTAAAGTTTAAATCCTAAATTAAATATACTCCATTGCTATTGGCTAAAAATGTTGAAATTCCAGGATATTTGAATGGTTGATGGCTACAATAATAAAAAATGTTTGAAATTGGCTTTTAATAAATATTTATTGAATCAATAAATTTGGAACAGTCTTGGAGAATCTGAGTTTCAGTATTACCAAAGCAATGTCTTATACATAACTCAATGGTCTTCAATATTTTGGATGTTACAGACTTGTTTGAAACTTTGATAAAGTAGGAATTTCCTATCATCTCAAAAGAACAAAACAGAAATAATAACAAAATCTGAAACTATTCATGGACATGTCACCTTGTATAGTAGCAGTCCCCAACCTTTATGGTGCCAGAGACCAGTTTCATGGAAGACAATTTTTCCGTGGACCAGGGCAGGAGCAGGAATGTTTTCAGGATGAAACTGTTCTACTTAAGATCATCAGGCATTAAAGTCTCATAAAGAAAGAATGACCTCAATTCCTCGCATGTGCAGTTCACCGTAGGATTCTCTCTCCTATGAGAATTGAATGTTTCCACTGATCTGACAGGAGGAGGAGCTCGGGTGGTAATGCTTACTTACCCACCATTCACCTCCTGCTGTGCAGCCTGGTTCCCAACAGGCCACAGACCAATTGGTCTGTGGCCCAGGGGTTTGGGATTCCTGTTGTGTAGAAAAGTTTTATTAAATAACGTAACACTACTACAACTACCTGGAGACCTATGTTCATTTATTCAATAACATATGTGTTTTCAAATTTGATATTAGTTACTATATACTGACTCCAGTTTCCTTCCTGGTGTGTGAAGAGCATACGTAGTCTAGTGAGCAATGTAGACAACTAAAAGAAGTCTTAGATATCATTAGAGCATTTAGAAAGGCCATTTAACCCCAAGTGTTTTTGGTGTGGCAACTGGATAAGATCAATAAACTGAGATCTGGAGGATGAGGGGTAACCTTATTTTGTCAGGTAGACTGGAAGGCTGAGAGGCACAGGAAAGACAGTCTCCATGAGCTTAGGTGAGCTAATTACATTTAGGGGACTGGGACATATTTGGGAGGACAATAAAGGAGGCTGATGATAGGAGTCAGATTAGTAATGCTCTTAAAAACTTTACTAAGGAGTTTATACTTGGTGTCTGCGAATGGATGCCTTTAAAATAGATCAGTGACATGAATAGATTTGTATTTTAGAAAAACTACTGACTTTGGACAATGATTTGGGAGGAGAGGGTGACAAAATTGAGGGAGAACAACTAGTATGCTTTTTCAATCAACCAGTGCATGGTGGCGATAGGACTTTGGGTTTGGTTGTATTTGGAGATAAGGAAGAGGGTAGAGTCAAGAATGATTCCCAGGTTCTTGTCTTGAGAAATCTGGTATATGGTTGAGAAATGCAGACTTTAAGGGGAAGGGCAGACAGGAGGGAGCAGAAGAAAGAACAAACATAGAGTCCAATTTGCAACACTGAGTTTTTAACACTGAGTCCCAATTTTCAACACCGAATTTAAAGCTTCTATGGGAAATCCTGACATGTCTGGGAAGCAGTTGAGTATATGGGACCAAAATTCAGAAGAGAGATTAGGCCATATAGAAAGACTTGGGATTCATCAGTAGTTCTTGAAGTCTTTTCACTGAGGAAGAATATAAAACCCTCTCATCCATAAAAGTGCCTCATTTTGGCCATGAATCTCATCATATGTCTGAGAACGCTCTTCCCACAGGTGATGCTCCTCTACTTCATTCAGGTCTCTGCTCAT